TAAAATATTCAGTGTAAACCCCCCCCCCCCCTCATTTATTTTAACTATTAGGGGTTGTCCATAAAGTACTTAAGCTTGTAGGGGGAGGGGGGAGGTATTCAAAAAGCGTATTAAAGCATAAGGAAAGGGTGGGGGGTTCAATGTAAAAGTACGTACATTAATTTTCTAATTTATCACAATCAACCAGCTAATCAATGGAAAAGTTAAAATTCTGACTAAAAATCATAGTTTGCCAACATAAAAAGATGTTTGATATAGGCAGGCCTTGCGATAAAGCGTCGGGCGATGTGAATTTTACGTTGTCCAAGAGCGATTTTGCGTGTAGCTAGGGCTATTTGCGTCGAGCAAAAAATTTTTTGTTTGAGTATATTTAAAGATATTTTTGAGCGGAATTTTAATGAAGTAATTTACGATTATTTTAACATTTAATAAAGTATTTTAAAAACTGCATGCAGTTGATGTAGAAGTTTGAATTACAAAAAAATTAAATATGCTTTTTATTTACAAGTAGAAAAAATTCAGATTAAAAAAAAAGTTTAAATCTTTTTAAGCTAACATTTTAATAAAATTATTCAGCAATAGCAAAGTTGTTAATAAAATTGAACAAAAATACTTGCTTTTAGTTTTAGATTTTTAACTTAAATAATTACTTTACGGGGGTTTGTTAGGTTTTAAAATTATTCCATAGATTTAAAAATAGTTATTAACTGTTAGACCTATTTAAAGTATTTAAGAGTAATTTCGAGGAAACATTTTAAAAATTGGTAAGCGCAAATAAAAAATAATAAAAGGATTAATATTAAAACATATTCTACTTGATTCAATAAAAAAGTACAGTTATTAAAATTTTTGTAATAAGTAACTCAAAAAAAATGTCTTAAATAATAACATTTGCTTTTTTTTTTTTAATGTTTACAAAAGTTGTAAACATTAAAAATCTATTCAAAACGTTCGTTAAAGTTTTTTAGTAATACGAGTAATTGTGCTTATCAACCGCTTTATGAAAATAAATAAAAATAAATAAATAAAAATATATTATATGAAATTGCTGGTAAAAATATTAGCTATAGCACAATTTTTAATCGTACAATATTAAAATTTCCAGTTTATTACTTGCTGACTTTTTAAAGTCAGCAAGTAAAGAAAAAATAATTATTTGAAAAACTTTAAATTACATATTTGAGAAAAAAAAAATCAAATATTAGCACCTTTAATAATCTTTTTTAATGGTTTTTTTATAATGTTTTTTATTCGTTTAGTATAGACAAAATGTGTCAAACATCGAGAAAATAAACAAATGTTTTACATTTTAAAAAACAAAACATTTCAAAACATTTTTAAATAATAACATTTCTACATTAATGATTTAAAGTAGTTTTGCGGTAATTAAGTAAATTGGTGCAGTTAATGTCGATAAATATGAAAAGCAAATAAAAAAAATTTAATGACGTCAAAAACCACGTCGTGCTTAAGCATCGCGCAGTTTTTATTCATCACAAGGTCTGTATAGGTATAGTTTCCCTCAACGTACACACATGCATGGGGGCCCGCAGGATTTTTTGATGTTCCAGATAAAACACTATCACACATTGTGCAAACTTCAAACTTAAGTATGTGTATACCTATGCCAAATAAGGAGGCCTTGCAAAAAACTAAGAAGGCGGAGGCCTGGGAGCAAAAAAGACTTAAAACGTCTCCCTCCCCCCCCCCAAAAAAAAAAAGGAAGGGTGTAAATTTTGTATGGTCATAACTTTTGTAATTTACAATATTTTTCTATGAAATTTAAAATCTGTCGATAAATTTAAATTTAGTTTTAGATGGTAGTTGGAATTTTACTACATTAGTGCCCTCTCGCTTGGGCAGGGGTAAGGAAGCGTTTTAGGCTTTTTTGTTGCCAGGCCTCTGCCATCCCACTTTATAGCAAGGCCTCCTCATTTGGCATAGTTATACTTAAGTTTTAGAACTTGCACAATGTGTACACACCTTTGGCATAGACATATTATGTTTGGAGCTTGTGCAAACTCCAAACTTAAGTATAACTATGTCAAATGTATGAAAGTGTCATATCTAGAACATAAAAAAATCTTGATGATCTAGATAATCCATGCAAACACCCCTTATATACTGGCCCTGAGTAAGGCGTATTTCAGGCAATCTTGCTTAACTTTGAGATCGTTTGAAGTTAAAACACCTAAGTATGCATCAAGTTTTAAAAAGAAGACGTTGGTGAGGTACTTTATCAAAAGCTTTAGCAAAGTCTGTGTAAATCACATCTATGGTGTGATTATGAAAGAGTGCTTTTGTTAAAATGTCCTGTGCCTTTAGTAGGTTGGTTGTACAGCCACGTCTTGGAAGAAATCCATGTTGAGATTTTGTAAAGAGTCCTTTTTTAAGGCAATGTTTCAGTATTTTTTTGTGTATAAAACTTTCCATTGTCTTACAGAGTACTGATGTTACAGAAACTGGTCTGCAGTTCAAGCATTTTCTACAGCTTCAATTT